GCCTTCCATTCATTTTGGCGAAAAACTTGTTTTATGAAATTACGGAATAATAAGATATTATGATAATATTTTGTAAGTGTAAGTAACAAGAAAAGATTGTAAACTTTATGTTTGACACACAAAACATGAAAATTTTGCTTCAAAAGAGTCACAATGAGCGATTTTCTGACCGCCTCTTCGCGAAGAGTGAAGAGCGAAGAGTGGGTGAGATAAATGACAAAATCGCTTATTGCGACGCTAATGTAGCAAAATTGGCTGGTATTATGCGTTAGACACAAACTTCACAATATTTTCTTGTTGCGTACACAAACAAAATATTATCATATAATCTTATTATTCCATAATTTCATAAAACATTTTCTTAGTCAAAATGAATAGAAGGCACCTTGTCTGTATCTCTTATGCGGGCAGGACTCGTTACTGTTTTTCAGTAAATGTAAAATACATTCACTGAAAAACAGTAGTGGATTCTGTTTGCTCTGGTTCGTCATGCATAAGAGATACGGATTTGAGTTCTTAACAAAAAGTTTCATACATCATTTTGCGAAATTCTGTTAATAAAAAAAGTTATGGGCATTCATTTACGAAATGAATGCAAATGATTTTCCATGCCTGTCTATAAATAGGGAATTTTTTGGTAAAAATCAACCATCGCCATTTATTTTCTTAAAAGTGCTACAAATCTCAAAAACTAAAGGACATACAAAGTTGGTTTCTTCAAAAGAGTTGCTCAAAAAGCCACCATCCTTCTAAAGGGTGATACGGTCAAAATTTGGTCAATATCAACTTGACGTATTTCTTTCAATTTTGCATTTAAAAAACCTGAACACCCCTCATTTTGAAGGTGTGTGTGTGTAGAATGTTGCTCCTATTTTGATTTTGGAATTCACTCTTCAGTTGTCAAAATGCCGTCCAAGCAAGAAGAGCAGCGTATCAAAATTTTGCTCGCGCATCGCGAAAATCCGAGCTACTCGCACGCAAAGTTGGCAAAATCGCTAAAAGTTGCCAAATCAACCGTTACAAATGTAATTAAAGTGTTTGGGGAACGTTTGTCGACAGCCAGGAAGTCTGGATCGGGGGGAAATCGAAAACCGGAAGCCGCTGAGACGACAAAGAGAGTTGCCGGTAGTTTCAAGCGAAACCCTAACCTCTCTCTCCGAGATGCCGCAAATAAGCTGGGTGTATCGTCTACAACCGTGCATCGAGCCAAAAAACGAGCCGGACTATCGACTTACAAGAAGGTAGTGACTCCAAATCGCGATGATAAACAAAATACGACGGCCAAAGCGCGATCCCGGAGGCTGTACACGACGATGCTGACGAAGTTTGACTGCGTGGTAATGGACGACGAAACCTACGTCAAAGCCGACTACAAGCAGCTTCCGGGACAGGAGTTTTATACGGCAAAAGGAAGGGGAAAGGTAGCAGATGTTTTCAAGCACATGAAACTGTCAAAGTTCGCAAAGAAATATCTGGTTTGGCAAGCCATCTGTACCTGTGGCTTGAAAAGCAGCATTTTCATAGCTTCCGGGACTGTCAACCAAGAAATTTACGTGAAAGAGTGTTTGAATAAACGTCTGCTGCCTTTCCTGAAGAAACACGGTTGTTCCGTACTGTTTTGGCCGGATTTGGCATCTTGCCATTACGGTAAAAAGGCCATGGAGTGGTACGCCGCCAACAACGTGCAGGTGGTTCCCAAGGACAAGAACCCTCCCAACACGCCAGAGCTCCGCCCAATTGAGAAATACTGGGCTATTGTCAAGCGGAACCTAAAGAAGACCAAAAAAACTGCTAAGGGCGAGCAGCAGTTCAAGGCAAACTGGCTTTCTGCGGCGAAGAAGGTGGACAAGGTGGCTGTACAAAATCTGATGGCAGGGGTCAAGCGTAAGGCCCGGCAATTCGGATTTGGAAAAGCGGAAGCCTAACTGAATATTTTTCCTGAATTTTATACTAATTGAACTTGAAAAAGAAATTTAATTTGATTTTTAAATAAACGATTTCACCGATTTACACGCGTTTTCCCTTGACCAAATTTTGACCGTATCACCCTTTAAAAAGCTAAATTAAAAGATAACAAAAGCGCTAACCTAACGGCAGAACTCCAAACTACTTTTGATATCGCCAAATGAAGGCAAAGTTTCTAAATATCAACTTTGCTGGTGACTCAAGTTCAAGTTCATAATGCAGCCCTCATGAGCTTTTAATTAATGGTGTGATTTGATACTGCTCCACCCACTTTACCATGGTACACATAGCCATTTACAATGTAGTTTGACGTTTGAACACACGATTTTTTACATCCAACCAGTATTAGAGGTTCTTTTGGTACAATGCACCAGTTAAGGAAATCAAGGTATTTTCCCCTTAAAATTAAAAGCAATAGTGAATATCATGTAGTGCATAAGTTCTCTTAAGCATTATTTAGATGTTTATATTCGCAGCATAGATGAAAACTTTGAAAAAATACCTTAAAAAGTTATTTTAAAATTGATAAAATAATTTGGAAATGGACCTAGTCGGGGCAAAATGCACTACCACAAAGGGGAAAGGTGCACCATAATGATGAGGCAAAATGCACTACAATAATGTGGTAATATGACCCTCATAATAAAGATCATGACCAAGATGAACGTCTTCGTTTTTGACTGAATCCAATTCCGATCGTAGTTGTTCAAAGGCCCATGACCGCTTAGTAGACTTCGGAACGTTGCCGCCCATTTCTGAAGCAAGAATAGAACGTAAACAAAGCTTATTTACTTTAGGATCATTTTGCCCTGATATTTTGAGTGCAAAAATTATTGTATGCAACTCGTTGAAAATTTCGTCGTTCAGTGTTTCATATGTTTAAAAGGATGGGGAACACGATGGTCCCATCAAATTGAAAATTAAAATACATCCTCTTTGAGACAAAATCCGTTTATTTTTTTCAAACGTGAATTATTAAAATTTCGTTTTGAAATGTGAATTATAAAAATAATCATTTCAGATTGAGCTTGTCCAATTATCTTATATATACAGTTCCTAATGATATTTTTTCCTCTTTTCGGGACATAAATCCACTGCGACTAGTTTTTTGGTCTACTGTGGTATACCCCGTGTCCTTAGTTTAGTGCCTGTCGTATTATTCCACCACTATTGACACATGATGAAGTATTCGGTTTAGATACAGTTGTCATTTTTGCCTTTATCGCAAGGATCCGACTCTAATTAAAAGGTCCCGCTCTTTGTACCCTTCGGAGGGTTGGAACACTTTTCAAAGGCGTACATCTTTGTTATTTGAAATCGAAATCCTTCGCAACAAAATCAAGCAATAACAGCGATACTGACCATGCATCAGAACCCTAGTCTTAACCATTTCAAACTAGAGAACAGTGAATAAAAGATGGAAAATAACTACTTATCTCATTTTATCTTTGTTTCAAGATCATCTTCGGTGGACAAAGCCGAGGCTTGTTACTATCAACAAGGTATACAAAGGAAAAAGGACTAAGATGTGTTCTTTTGATTACAAAACAATCCTGTTCCCCTAATTTGAAGTAGTTCGGACTTGTCTTAAGTGATAGATCTTAATGCCAGTAACGCACCACCAAAATGTAATCTACCAGACGATACTGGCCTACCCAATGCTATCTGCAGCCTCATTAGTGCCGGAGAAAATTAACAAAAGAAAGTAGTGCTTACTTGAAAATCTCGAAAAATATGCTCCGATCGGTATATCAAATTATATTTTGAAAGTTGGTCTGAAATAAGAATCTAATCCTAATTTAGTCAAAATTGGAAGAGGTCAATATCACTTGGTACGGAATGATCCAAATTTGCATTTATTTTGCAGTCAAAATTGTATTCATGGCGAATTTTATTCTAATTGTAAGTAAAGTTAATTTAGCTGTAACTTTTTCATGCAATTGCAATAAAATTGGTCTTGAATTGAATGTGAGGGTTTCATAAAGAAAAGCTTGCGTTATGATTTTAACACGAGGTTTTTAAGTTTGAATAAGTATGGAGATCGAACACCCGTTTTAGGTCAGGGAACCGAAAATTTGAATCACACACTTTATTTACTTATTTCAAAGGCAATGATTGATGTTTTCTGATTAGTTAGGTATTTTACAACTGATAATCTGAGTACTCGGGCAAATTATATTTAGTCTGAGTACCCAGGTATTTTTCAGCTTATAATTGTACCTATTTAGCGAGCACATAGTAAAACTTATTGACTTAAGTAATATGTAAAATTGCTTTCGTTAAGTTTTGCACAAATACGGGGTAATAAAATTGATGCCTTATACACACCAAACAGTTCTGAATTTGACTAGTGAGGTAACCTATCTCACGTAAAAAACATGTATTTCATTTCACACAAACTACTCGCTTGACATAAATATTGCTTACAAGTTTGAAATATTAGATAACTTGTCCCATAGCATTACATCAACTTTTATTTAAAAGTGTGTGTGATGTTGCATTTATGTGCATCAACTTTACATTACTATTTTTAACTGTATAATTTATCAAAAATACTCCACATTTTTAGCTAATAATAGCGTACTTTATTTGGACGCTTAGGTACGGGATGCCTTTGTTTTAAGAAATCTTTGCCATGATTACGCATCGTTCCACGGTTGATAGAACTTATTAAAATGTATGTATTCTGTAATTTTAAATTGGTAAACTAGTGACCGTCTGTTTGGTTTAAGGATATATACTTAAATTACGATTGCATTTTTTTTTACCAATATAGGACCTTTCTCTTCCTCGTTCTATATTCTGCTGGCCAGTCAAAACTCAGGCTCTCGTTCCCCTCTAAAATGCTACGCTATGTATGCATGGAGAAGTTATAAACGACGGACTGCAATTTAAGTTAACTAATGGGTGAAAATGATGCATAAATAGAAAAAGGAGTGAGCTATGAAAATACAACTAGTGACATGATTGTGCCAACCGTGAACAGTTGTGAATGAAATGTTTCTATGAGATAACATATTACTGAAGACACTTACCTGAAAAAATAAAGTAAAAGCTACCCATTGATAGTACTTGGTATGCCGAATTGTCAACGCACCGCTTCGTTGTGAGTTATCTACTCCTGGGAATGGCACTTCCTGACCTTGTTTCTTCATAAAGGCGTCTACGACTGTGTATGTCGAATGAATCCAACAATATGTGTTCAGCACGTCTTCAGGGATGTCTCTGAAATTTAAAATGGATGATATATAGGTTAAGGACTTTCTGGATTTATTGTTTTGTATTATTGTTAATTGTATTTAAATTGTGTGGGTCTCTTTAACGTTTACCTAATGTCTCAAGATATATCCAGATAATAGGCGTTTTTATTGTTATTATTATTCATTGACAACTTTGACCATTTTTTAAGTTATGCTTACTTAAAACCACATCCAGGTAGCATCGTAAATGGGATGATATCTGATCCTTCTAACTTTCATATTCTATTGATGAATTCACGCGAAACTGCACCAGTGCATGCGACCCCTAGGTTTGAAATTCAAAACCACAAAAGTGATGATGTACTTAAAAATATCCCATACATAGCAAAACGTCATTATCATTTTCACATCATTTCCATCTGCTGGTCGACCGTAAAGTAAATTCATCAATTCCTATGATGGCTTCCACAAAGAGGATTAATACCAGTTTCTGTCAGGAATAATATTTTCTTATGAACCCCACAAAATCGCAAATAATCTTGATATTGAATTGTGCATAAGACAAATAGCCGAAAGACATTTGACTTAAAACTTTGGATTTGAAATGATCTTGTAACGTGTTATTCATTTGCGTATATTACCAGTAGGCTGCTCAAATTCGATGAAAGTATTTGCAATCACTACGATCATCTTCCAGTATGATTGATAAAAAAATAAACCTATGCAAAAACTGGTAAGAATTGATGAAGGTTTAGAGATCGCGTAGTGATAAATTACTACACGGTAAGAAAAAAGTACCCAAAAGTAAATTATTTTCACTCATCTCGGCACTATAGTGCAGGAACCCAAAAGTAGGTACAGCGGGCCAAAGTAGTTTTCATTTACTTGTGTGTAATTCGTATGGAATTTTCCACTCGCTTTATATCCAATAGTAAGTTAGTTGTACCCAAAAGTAGGTAAATATGATTATACTCAACGTTGGATTCCCACACTTTACTACCCCTGTTGGGTGGTTTTGCTCCTCAGTTTTTGACAACATTAGAAGGAGAAAAGGAGACAAACTAGTCAAAAGTTGGTAAAAGTGAACTGGCCATTGGGTACTTTTTTTTACCGTTTATGGGAGATTTTTTAAGTACACTACAATTGTTCTATCTTTGATTCAAAATTTAATATGTGGTTTCCATTGGTAAACAATCCAGTTTTTGTTGATGTAATGAAACTAGTGTACTATGTACATATTCAACTATCAATTTATCCTATTTTGCACATTTATATCATTATTGATTTACTATCAAACTAGAAACTAGAACCAAAAGTAAAGCGATGCCATCACAAAAGGTCAGTAGTGAAACAAAAAAAAGTTATGCATTTGAAATTTTTACTACGAACAATACAAATACATACAAACTTCAAACCATTTGCACAAACTTTACACCTTCATCAATCTGCACTATTTTTATTTTATTATAGTTACTTTAACACTCTAGGGTCACTCGTGACATGTACGGGGATGAGATTTGAACACGTAACTTTGACGTGAGAGGTATGGATGTTAATCAGGACGCCAGCCGTCTCCCAATCTACAATTTTACTATTATAACTATCACGAATCAAACTTTATGTATTGATGGTGGCCTAAAGTTTGATGTATTGATGGTGGCCAAAATGATTGCAAATACTTTTTATAAAATAAAGCACGTGCAGTGCACTTTTTATCCATATATAATTCAACTCACTGAACTGTTGCAAAAATGTTAAATGGTACTTTACAATAATGTAGCTATTTTTCAAAACATCATGAGAAGTTAACGACAAGTACTTTTTACATGGCAGATGAGAGGACATTAAAATTAATGATTCTTATTCAACTGCAACAACACCGCAATGATTTGTCAACATGTTTGCACAGTTACGTATTATCGATGGTATCCATGTTACAGTTATGTAGAAAATAAGTAGCAAATGCATAGTTTGAACAATAATAGAATTTGTTGAATATGTGCGTGGGTTATACGGTACTTGTCAGTAGTGGTAACGACATCGGTGCAGCTCCTCTGTCAGCAACCATCTGGTTTCGGTATTATGAGCTACTAGTTCTGGCAATTCGCCCGCTATCTGGTGCCGTGTTCAGTTCACCAGCAGTTCTGGAAAAGTCGAGCTCCGACTCTAACGCATCCTCAAAGGTCGACATCGATATCGGCATCAACAACTGACAACATATTTGGTGCCCCCAAAACTGGTGGTCTTCCTTACCACCTATTTCTCCGCTTTTGCCAATGCCAACACCAAAAGTGTTTTCATCCCAGGGACATGACATATTTGCGTCATGGTAGATGGCTTGCAACAAACCATTACAGTAACAACTTGATTCAGTTTTTTTGCAAAACGAAGTTTGAATACTTATAGATTCATAACGCTTAAGGTGATACGATCCAGAAGCGTGGGCTTTGAAGCCACTTCGCCTTTTCCAAGGGATAATTATCTTCTACCGGAAAACATACAATAACAAATCTGATGATGCAAATTTAATTCCATATGATGATGCAAATTTAATTCCTGAAATCGCAATTGTGTCCGAGATAAACTCTCTAGAAAACTCAAAGTGGCATAATTTGTGGACGCTGGATCGTACCACTACACACTTTGTCAACTTTTTAGTAACATTTCGAAACAGTTGATCATAAGATACAAAAAAAACATACCATTCAAACTCTGTTACACCAAAGTTTCGAGAAACATAATGCTTTATGGAACTCTCATACATCAATTGATAGATTTGTTGATCAAGTGTTTCATACAATATATCGTAGCATATAATTTCGTACTAATCAGTGTTCACTCGGCTGTCGACAAAAGCAGACCACTCTCGATGTGTGCCACGCGATCGTCTGTTTTCTCGGCAGCAACCATTGTGTGGTCCGCCTCATTGTTCTTCATCAGCAGTTCTTTCAGTCGATACGTCGTCGACTTTGCAAAGCAACCGTTTCGTGATGAATGTGTGAGTGCTGACCACATTTTGCGTCCATTTCTACAATGGAAGCGCTCTGACCCTCGTTGGCGATTCTGCCATACAAGTAAACCACTGGAAACGGCTCCAATTCTGGTAGAGGAGGCTTACTGGATAGCGGAAGATAAAATGTTTATTGTGTTGTACCTTTTGACTGTAGTTTTAAGATGTATTGTATAGTGAACAAGAATCCTCGGCTCTGTAAAGTTAATTCAGTTGAGCCTTATCAAATAAATTAATAATAATAATAACTTCATACTATTTTGAGTGTAGCAAGTTTGCTCCACCAATTGGATGCATGATTTGAGAGGTTATCCAAGCAGTACATTGCAACAATTGAGTTTCATTATTGAGACTTAAAGAAAATCAAGTACTAAACATGAAACAGTTTCGTATCAAGATGTTTTTCTTGTACCAGTTAAGGGACTTCTGGGCAACTTAAATTGCAAAATAACAATATTAACGATGTTTTCTGTATTGCTTGGCACTCTAATATGCAGTCTATTGATCTCAACGCAACATTGATTCTTGATACATTAGTGATATCAATATGTTAAGATACTTGTACCTTCAGGTAGAAAACACAAGTTTACAAATAACAGTAAAAAAATTAAAATGAATCTTTTACCAATAATTCTTGAGAAAAATCGTGTGCTGAATCTGAAAATGCAGTCAAAAAAAATCTCGGTAGGATAGTTTTTGAGATACAGCTAAAAATGAAAATTTACTGTAAAAAAGTTTGTTTACTAAAATACAAATATCTCCGGTTGTAATGAGACTATACCCGAGCAAAGTCGGATATCAAAATACTATCAAAATGATATCTAATTTAGTTTTTGAAATCATGTTGACAACATATTTTGATATGCTATTTTTTAAATTTCGGTTGAATTCATATTTTTCTATTGTTTTATTATTTCTTAAAATTTTATATAAAACTAAATTTGATAGGGGAATTTACGTAATCTCGTCAATCTAAGCAGCGTCCGAACTTCTATTAGCGATTTCTCAGCGTCACACACATACTTGACAGGTTTGTTTGTTGACATTTATCTGCTGCTTGCTGTTCTACCAATTCCAATCGACAGAATTGATCAAAACGGGTTGAACATGTTTTTACAACGCTCCAAACTTCTCAGATGAGAGTGACTATTGTCGGCAGTCTCTTTTTCTTCGGCACCCTTTCCATTTGAACTGCGTGTTAACCAGCTGTTCTATTATCGGCAACTCGAAATCAGCCGTATTTTGTAGTATGTATATTTCATTTAAAGAAAAATATGGTATAACAGGAATTCACAGTCGTAAAAATGTAATCAGATTGAAACTGAAAAGGTAAGGAATCGGCTTAATACATTCAGCGAAGAGTTTTGATGGGAAAATACAGTGAAATAAACGTTTCAATTTCGGTTGCCGAAAACAGTCAATGGGTGCCGAAGCCATAATTTACCCTATTTTATATGAAAAAAAACGTTTCCACACTTATCACTGAAATCTACATTTATTTTTATTTTTTCTTCTTACGAGTTAATCAGGTTTCTTTATGAACATCACAAAGACAATTATGATTCTTACAGTGTTGTTTTAAAACATTTATTGATATTAATCTGCCTGTGAATTGAATTTACTAATCGATATATATTTGATTGCGTCCAGTTCGTCTGTAATACTTATACTAATACATTGTCGAATATTGCAATTTAACTTTCGTAGACTTAGTCGGTTTCTTAGCTCATATTTAAATATGTTGTTATTAATTATTTTTAATATCAGTTCTCTCCCAATATAATAAATATCGTCATTGTCTGTTAAAATATATTCAATGCGAAGAAATTCATCATTCATAATAATATAAGAGTCATCGTAGACTAATTTTTTACAAAATTCGTGTGTCCCATTCCTATATTGAATATAATTCCACTAGAATTTGTCATGAAAACGAAACTCTTAACTTAAAAACTTCACATCGTCTATATCTATGCTATTGGATTTAATAAACTTCAATCGTTCGTCATATTTTA